AAGCTCTTACACTTCACCTAACAACTGTTTTTTTTTTTTTTTTTTTTTTTTTTTTGAGACGGAGTCTTGCTCTGTGCCCCAGGCTGGAGTGCAGTGGCGCGATCTCGGCTCACTGCAAGCTCCGCCCCCCAGGTTCACGCCATTCTCCTGCCTCAGCCTCCCAAGTAGCTAGGACTACAGGCGCCCACCACCACACCCGGCTAGTTTTTTGTATTTTTTTAGTAGAGACGGGGTTTCACGGTGTTAGCCAGGATGGTCTCGATCTCCTGACCTTGTGATCCGCCCGCCTCGGCCTCCCAAAGTGCTGGGATTACAGGCTTGAGCCACCGCGCCCGGCCCACCCAACAACTGTTAAAATACCAACAGTGCACTGCAATGAGTTATGTATACATAATGTAATTCCTAGAGCTACCACTAAGTAATATCTATACAAAGAAATACACTGAAGAACACTATAGATAAACTAGAATTCTAAAAAATGTTGAAGCATAACCCATAAGGCAGGAAAAAGAAAACAGAGAAACAAAAACAGAAAGCAAAAAATAAAATGGCATTATCAAACATTACGCTGAACATAAACACTCTAAATACATCAATCAAAAGACAGACAATGGCAGTGGATAAAAAAAACAACCAACCATATGACAACTACCAGAAACTCACTTCAAATATAAGTTACCTGAGAGTGAAAGGATGGAAAATTATATACCATGCAAACATTAATTGAAGGAAAGCAGAGGTGGCTACATTAGTGTCAGATAAAGTAGATTTCAGAGCAGAAAAATTACCAGAGACACATAGGTGAACCACATAATGATAAAAGTGTCAGTCCATCCAGAACACACAGGAATCTCAAACATGTATGCACCAAACAATAGACCTACAAAATATATGAAACAAAAATTGACAAAACCCTAAAAAGAGGCAGGGTGCACTGGCTCATGCTTGTAATCCCAGCACTTTGGAAGGCCGATAGAAGGCAATCACTGAGCCCAGGAGTTCAAGTCCAGTGGAACCCCAACTCTACAAAAAAAAATTTTTTTAATCAGTTGGGCATGTTGGCGTGTGCCTACAATCCCAGCTACTCTGGAGGCTGAAGCAGGAGGATGGCTTGAGCCCAAAAGGTCGAGGCTGTATTGAGCCATGATCATGCCACTGCACTCTAGCCTGGGTAACAGACTGAGACCATGTCAAAAAAAAGAAAAAAGAAAAAAAGAGGGCCGGGCGCGGTGGCTCAAGCCTGTAATCCCAGCACTATGGGAGGCCGAGACAGGCGGATCACGAGGTCAGGAGATCGAAACCATCCTGGCTAACACAGTGAAACCCCGTCTCTACTAAAAAGTACAAAAAACTAGCCGGGCGAGGTGGCGGGCGCCTGTAGTCCCAGCTACTCGGGAGGCTGAGGCAGGAGAATGGTGTAAACCCGGGAGGCGGAGCTTGCAGTGAGCTGAGATCCGGCCACTACACTCCAGCCTGGGCGACAGAGCGAGACTCCGTCTCAAAAAAAAAAAAAAAAAAAAAGAAAAAAAGAGAATAAACAAAGCTACAAGGAAAGACGAACTCAACAGGACTATTAACTAAAAGGAAATAACATTTCAGAACACTCCGCCTAACAATAGCAAAATAAATGTTCTTTTCAAGAGCCAAAGAATACTTACCAACATACAGGTAGAGTCACAATATCTTACTGTACGCCTTGTAAAAGCACCACTTAACTTTTTAAACTATGTGTATGTTACCACGATAAAATAAAACCCAACTTCAGAAAATAATGTAGAAGCACAGCTTCTGGTCCAGACAAAATGCCATAGACCCATTTCTCTGCTCCTCCCCAGTAAGTCCACTATAAACTCTGATAATTAAGCAAGAGCCAATCAAAGGAGAGTTCTGAAAGAAGGTAAGAAGGCAGCAGTGACTTACTGAGACTCCCCTCTCCCACCAAGGGATATTGGGGCCTGAGACTCCCCTCTCCCATCAAAGGATACTGGGGCATCTGGGCAGGAGCAGTAAGGGGAACTTGTCACTACAAGCTGCTGGCCCAAGAAGGCTCTGTGCCTCTCATGCCTGAGACTCCTCTCTCTCATTAGGGACAGCCAGGCAGCACCAACAGGTGCAACCCCACCACATAAGGAGCCCAGTCCAGAAAACCTTTTTATCCATAACCTAAGATCTTGCTCCAAGACATCAGAGCATCAAAGTGTCACCAGCAAGAAGGATTCTGCCACAGGAACCCTTTTGCCACAGTGGTGCTAAGACTCCTCTTCTCCAACCCAAAGACACCAGGGCAGCCACTGGGTCCATATGGATGGGATACAGCCACAGCCAGGGCCCAACCAAAGAAGCCTCTTCATCTCCATGGGTCTGACACTTTCATCTTTTAACAAGAGAAACCAGGCCTAGGAAAATACACCTTTCGCTCTCACGTAGCACCAACAGAGACCAGGAAGAGCCCCAGTAATACCACATAAACCAAGCAGACCAAACATCACAGCACAAAGGCTCTGAGAATTAAAATGTCATTTAGAACCACAAGCCACAAATGTAGTCCAGGACCTATGTGCTGAATCTAAACAGGGTGGCTGCACGCTAAAATAAAAGATATAAATAGAACCCAAATTCTCCCAATACACAAAATACCCAAGAGACAATCAAAAACCATCTGTCAAACCAAGAGCCGAGTGGAGATAACAGAGTAAAGAATTAGGGAACTTGAGAACAGATTAATAGAATGTACACAATCTGAACAACACAGAGAAAAGAAACAGGGAAAAAGCCTAAGGGAATTAAGAAACACCAACATAAAATCCAACTTTCTTAACACTGGGAATCCAAATGGAGAGAAGAGAGTGGGAGCAACTCTCCATTATTTCAACAACAAAGAGTAGTTGAAGAAATAATGGCTAAAAACTTCCTAAATTTAGTCGAAGACCAAAAACAAACAAACAAACAAAAAACCAAACATAAAATCCATGACAAGACACATCATAATTAAACTTCTGAAAACTAGACAAAGTAAAAACTTGAAAGCAGCCAGAGCGAAATGACACATGTACAAGGGAACATCAATCTGAGTGACAACAGCATCCTAATCAGAAACCATGCATGCAAGAAGGAAGCGGCACAAGATTTTTCAAGAGCTAAGAATGGCAGGCTAGCAGCCATGGCTCACGCCTTAATCGTAACACTCTGGGAGGATGACACAGGAGGATCACTTGAGACCAGCTGGGCAATATAGGAAGATCCTGTCTCTTAAAAAAATTTTTTTTTAATTAGCCAGGCATGGTGGTATGTGCCTATAGTCCCAGCTACATGAGTGGATTGCCTGGGCCCAACAGGTCAAGGCTGTAATGAGCTATGATCGCATCACTAACTCCAGCCAGGACAAAAGAGCAAGATTCTGTCTCAAAAAAAAAAGGAAGAACAATAGAAAAAGGGGAAATACGGGCACGTGGTATGTGCAATACACTATCCTTATCATCATGAGTTTTACAAACTATATTTGATGACTGACACAAAAACTGTGTCAACCATCTGTAACACCATCTGATACCCAGGACATGATATTTAAAGTGAGGACCTAACTGAAAGAAAGGTTTCCACACTTGACTGGAAGTGGTGAAATACAGCAATACGCCATGGTGATACGTCACATATGTATACTGTAACACCCAGATCAAGCACTGTGAAAACTATACAAACACCTAATCTGAAACACACTATACGGATACCAAAAGTGTCCAAGTAACCCAAAAAGTGGCCAAAAAAAAAAAAAAACAGCAATGAGAATCAGAAGAAACAGAATACAGATAATAAATAGCACACTTATATTCTAACATATCAATAATTATTGTAACTGTAAATGGTGTAAATATGCCAATCAAAAGAGAATGGCACAGTCAATAAAAAAAAAAGGATCATAAGATCCAACAAGAAACTCACTTCAAATTCAACACAGGTAAATTGAAAGCTAATCCCATGCAAACACTAATCCAAAAAAAGCGTAAATGGCGACATCAATATCTAACAAAGAAGATTTTAGAGGAAAGAAAATTACCAGAGACAGAGGAACATTAACCATGAAAGGAACAATCCACCGAGAAGACAAAAAATCTTGAATGTGTGTGCACCACATGACAGTGCTTCAAAGTACATGAGGCAAAAACGGATTCAATCTGTGATGGAAACCTATTTTGAAACAGGTGGCACATTTCCAAAAAATGAACTCCTAAAATTAAACAGATTTACTAATACAATTACTGCTATAGGTAACACCAAGGAAGGAGAAATGGTAGTTCCAGAGAACCCACTTTCAACCAAGCACTGAAAAAAGGGCACCTTACACATGTTCTACTGTAATCTCCAATAATCCCGTAAGAAAAAATATTATCCAGCACTTTACAGATGAGGAGACCATGGCTTTGAGTTTAAGTTACCCAAGAGCAAACAGCTGGTGGGTAAATCAACACACAAATCAGCGTTATAACATTCCGATACGTACTCTGAGCTGTATGTTACAGTCTCTCAAATGGCCGAAACCAAAAATTGTTCAAAAACTCAAATTCTGAAGCAACCACATATTGAGTGAAATTATGTTTTCTACAATTCCTCTGGAATAAAACTTCAAAAACTGTAAGAAGCAGTACTTATTTTTTAAAATTTTCTTCTTTTCTTTGAATGAGAAATAAGTTAAATATGAGTTAAATCCAATCTCGGGTATGAAAGGTCTGTACGCTAATTCTACCGCTAACCTGTGGCCCCACTAAACAAGTCAACCGTTCTCAATACTCCATTTCCCTTTCCTAAAGGCAAAACTACATGTCGACAAAAAGCATTTCGTATATATGTGTTTAAGTAAAAAGTGTGCCTAGCAAAGATACCGAAATGTCGAACAGAAGTCATTTCAACAAGGAGTGTGTTTTCAACAATATAATTAAAAGTTGCATCTGTCACCTTCACAATTCATACGGCTACACAAACAAGTTTCGGAGACTCTGAATTACCCCATAAATTAGGACTTTTGATCCCCGGTTACTTTAGGAGAGCAGCCACCCCTCAACACCGGACCGCGGTTCTCCGCTCCCGTTCTGGCTCCTGCGCTCGGCCCAGGCGTCCCGGGATGCAGACGCTGGCTCCGGCAGTTGCCCGCGGCCCTCACCACAGCGGACGCCACAGCTGCGGCGCGCCCAGAACGCCCAAGACTCCCGACTCCCGGCGCACAGATGGGGCGCGCCGGTAGGACCCCAGACCCGCCCGGCTCCGGGTTCCTGCGGTGGACTGGGGCCCCCGGGGCGCGTCTGCGGGGGACGCGCGCCGGTCCCGCCTCGGTTACCTGCCGTGCCGGTCGGCTCCCGGCCCGGGCCCCGCGGCGCTGTAGTAGGCCGCGCGTTTGCGGTTGGCTGCGGCCGCCGCGGCGCTACGCACCGGGTAGAGAGGGATTTGGTCCGCCATGTTACGGCCGCCCCTTTCCCGCCCCTCCCGCTTTCCCCTCAATTCGCCACCTTTTCCCCGCCCTCTCCCCTCAGCGCCAACCCCGGCTGAGGCACCGCCCGCGGACCTTCCCCGCCTCCGCCAAGCGGCGAGGTCCGATGACGTCAAGAGCGGCGGCGACGCGACGCGGAAGGCGTGGCTCGCTAGGCCCGCCCTCCTTTGGGCGTCGGCGGACGATGACGTGCCCCAGAAGGCAAAAGCGCGGCGCGGGAGGCGGTGGAGTCCGGGCGATGACGTCACGAGCGGCTAAGACTGGGGCGAGGGGCGTCGGGTTTGAGGCCCCGCCCCCGCCGCGTGACGGGCCCGATGACGCCACAGATCGGCGGGGCGGGGCTTGCATACGCCGCGGGCTGGTCTTCTGGTAGCGCGGGAGGCCCCGCGCATGGGTCATGGTTCGGCCGGGCGCGCTCTGGTCCGCGGGTGGAAGGACCTCGCAGCAATCTCCTGGAAGTTCTGCGGGGCACATGCGTGGGCGCGCGCGGCCTCCTGAGCGGTCCCGAGCCTGCGCTGCCGGGAGTAGTACGCGCTGCCGGGAGTAGTACAGAGCGAGACTCCGTCTCAAAAAAAAAAAAAGGGTCATTATGAATATTAATTTTTTTGGAGGGGACAGTCTCGCTGTCGCCCAGGCTGGAGTGCAATGGCGCGATCTAAGTTCACTGCAAGCTCCGCCTCCCGGGTTGACGCCATTCTCCTGCCTCAGCCTCCCGAGTAGCTTGGACTACAGGCGCCACGCCAGGTTAGCTTTAGTATTTTTAGTAGAGACGGAGTTTCACCGTTAGTCAGGATGGTCTCCATCTCCTGGCCTTGTGATCCACCCGCCTTGGCCTCCCAAAGTGATGGGATTACAGGCTTGAGCCACCGCGCTCCGCCTGTGAATATGAATATTCTTAATTTATTGCTGCCACTTTCTGATTGCCAGTTTGCTTCTCAGCTGCTTTTCATGTAGCCTGAATACACGCCACTCCACAGACACTAACTACTTTCAAAAGACACCAATGGCCTCCCAATTGACAAGGGACTTCACCCATTATTTCTCTACCTCACCCTCAGCCGCTGACACTGTTCACACCATCTCTCACCTACATTCAACAACTGATGTTGATAACACCATCTCATTCTCACAGCACTGGCACTGTAACACCATCTCCGCAACCTCACTCAACACCTGACAGTGACAACAGCATCTCCTCACCCTCAGCAACTGACAGTGACACCATCTCCTCCCCCTCACTCAACACCTGACAGTGACACCATCTCCTCCCCCTCACTCAGCAACTGACAGTGACATCATCATCTACACCCTCACTTAACAACTGACAGTGAGACCATCTCCTCCCCCTCACTCAACACCTGACAGTGAATAGCATCTCCTTCCACTCACTCAACACCTGACAGTGACAACAGCATCTCCTCACCTTGCTATATTGTCCAGGCTGGCCTCAAACTCCTGGCTTCAAGTGAGCCTTCCACCTCAGCCTCCAAAAGTGCCGGGATTCCAGGCATGAGCCACCGTGCTGGGTCACAGTTCTGCAGTATAGCAGTTGCAGGGACAGGAAGAACATGTCTCAGTAGCAGAGTCCAGGGGGAAATCGTGGGAGAAGCCATGCTAAGTCCAGCCCATGAATTCTGGTTATGGAAAAATAGAACCACACGCCGGCCACCGAGCGGAGCATTTGCACCCTGCCTCCTGGAGACTAGGATTCCCGCCCAGCAAGGTGCCTGTGTCTTCCAAAGGCCATTTCACCCTTTTCTCAAGCCAGCTCCTTCACAGTGCGGGGGGACCTGGCAATCCCAGCGTATTCAGGTCCCCAGGCTTCTGTAGAAAGTCACCACAGACTAGGTGGCCTAATCTACATGAATTTATTCCCCCACCGTTCTGGGGCCAGGAGTCTTCAGTCGAGTTGTTAGCAGGGCCATGCTTCTTTCCCAGGCTCTAGGGAGGACCCTTCCTGCCTCCTCCAGTGCCCCGTGGCTCCAGGTGCTCCTTGGCTTGGGCCTGGCCACAATGGTCTCTGCCTCTGTTGCCATGGAGGCTGAGGTGGAAGGCTCACTTGAAGCCAGGAGTTTGAGGCCAGCCTGGACAATATAGCAAGACCCTGTCTCTACAAAAAACCAAAGTAAATTAGCTGGATGTGGTGACACGTGCCTGTAGTCCTGGCTACTTGGGAGGCCGAGGCAGGAGGATCACTTGAGCCTGGGAGGTTGGCGCTGCAGTGAGCTCTGATCATGCCACTGCACTCCAGCCTTGGCAACAGAGAGAGACTCTGTCTCAAAAAATTAATAATAATCTTAAAAACCCTACCGAATTGTACACATTAAATGAGTGAACAGTATGGCATTTGAGTTACATTTCAAAAAAGCTGTTACAAAAACATAGACCTGAGGGGCTCCCAGGACAAGAAGCTAATGAAATCATCACCATGCGCTTAGCCCAGAAAGGGGGGCTTGGTTCTCGGAGGGCGGCTGCTCAGAGTCTGGCCCAGTGGATCTGTGACATGCCCACAGCCCACCCTCATCCAACCCATGTCTAAGCTCTGAAGAGGGCGAGGGACCATTGGCCAAAATCTCAAGTGAGGGCTTTTGCTCCTGGCAATGAAACTACCTGGAGCTCGACAGAGCCAGGTCCTCGTGGCTGACGTGTCTTCCCAGAGCCAGGTCCTCGTGGCTGACGTGTCTTCCTTTCTAGGGCCAGCGTCAGAGACTCGGGAGCCGTGCTGAGCAGGGCTGCGTCTGGAGCCACCTTGCCCTGGGCTCTGAGGAAATGCAACGCAACTGAAGACTGCGCCCTGGTGAGCCCTTTCTCCCGGAGGCTCTGCCCAAGGCCAGCGTGATGTCCCAAGGGGCACAACTGCAGCCGTGACTGCTGCCTGCCCTCCGGAGGACTTGCAGACCACGGCTGACCGATGGATGTGGAAGGGCTGGGGGCTGCTCTGGGGGACCTGATGAAAGTCTGTGGGGATGCCTGAGTGTCTTCCAGCACCGGCTGGGATTTAGTGTGGCTCAGTTCAAAAACCCACAGCCAAAAGCATCAAGGCTGGCCATTGCATCTTGGCCAACCTGGGCAGTACATCCCCCTCTAAGGTGTACCTTGAAACAGTCAAGAAAACCCGGGAGGCATAAAGGACTTCTCCTGACTATTTCAAGGAACACCTTGAAGTGTATGCTTGATTGTACCCACCTGGGCACAGATGCGCCTCTGGCCTGCTCTGCAGCCTGTGGTGGGGGAGCCGGCAACAGAGAAGGACCACAGGTGGTGATTTGCTTTCTACGTCAACTGCAAGGGCAGAAAGTGATTTCAAACATTACTTTCAGCAATGTTATGAACTTAATCTCAAAATCTTCAGAAAATTTGTTACCTGACAAATTCATCTCTGAAAACCAACCATCCACTGTCAATGAAAAAGAGGCATGAAATGTGAGAAAAGACCAAAAACCTGTGTCATGTGACACAGAAGATCACGGTCACATGGCAGGTGCCACAAACAGCAGCAGTAGCCGTGACTCTTGCAGTCAGCCCAGCCTGGGGCCGCTGGGTGCCCACTGTGGTGACAGCACCTGGGACTTCCTGCTGGAGTCAAATAGCATCACTCACCAACTTCTAGGCCAAAAAACAAAACAAAACCACAAACAAAAACTAAGACAGCAAGTCCTGCCAGAAAGAGATGCAATGTACACTGTAGGAACGGAGTTCTGACCCACTTTGGTCCTGACCTCTTTCAAAGATGGCGCCTCTCAGCATGGCACGATTCCCACCTCTTCCAGCATTCTCTTCACCAGCGCAGCAACTCACCTGCCGATGACCTCCCGCTGTTAGATACAGGCACGAGCCTCACCACAGCAGAGATGGCCCCACCGCGGTGCAGGCACGTCGCCTCCAGGGACTCCCCAAGTCCTCATCTTCTCCTTGGGAGTTTGAGTGCTCTGTGTCACCAGCACCTCCCATTCTCCTGGAAAACCTTCCAATGGACTTGGGCTACTTCTGGATGTTTTTGCTCCAAGAGTGCCAAGTCTCTCCCGTAGCTGGAGTTAACAGATGGGGCAAACGCCAGGAACACATGACTTTGTGGTCAGCCCGGAAGCCGGGAAGGCAAAGCCTGGAGGGACTCTCCTAGGAGGTCAGAAAACAGAACAGGCTTAGCAGCTACGTGGCCCGTGCTTGGCCATTTTTATCTTGCTGCAAATGATGCGCGTACCTGAGCGTCTACTTAGTTAACGGTCTCTATGTGATTTTCATAAGCATTTATATAAAAAGCGGCAAACATTTCTAAAACATTATATTAAACAGTGTCAAAGAGTAACGGGTCACATTCTGGCTTGTGCGGTTCTGAGAAATCTTACCACTTGATTGACGGCAGAGGCCCATGAGGCCCTGCAGGCAGGAGCTGGGTCTCAATCACAGTGCTAGGGGCTGCCACGAAACAGCAAGGACTTGGAGGTCAACGTGGGCTTGTATCTCACTTAGTGTATGTGGGGTCAGAAACACACGGCATGCAATGTACCTTCTCAACTCTTGCTAAGTGTGCACTGCAGTGGTGTCGACTCCACTTACTGTTGTGCAGCAGCTCTCTCTCTGTGGTCTTGCAAATCTGAAACCCTCTACCCACTGGGCAACACTCTGTACCCTCCTCCCCGCACTGGTGATCACCACTCCAACAGTCTGACTACTGCAGACACCTGGATGTGAGTCCCGTCCGTGGCTCGCTGGCTGCAGGCCAAATTGTGAGTCCCGTCTGGCCCCTCCCTGGGTCTGTGCCTGACTCAGCAGAGGCCGTGCTGCCCTACTCCCTCCAGCCCACAGGGCAAGCCACGTG